GGGGGGGGGGTAGATTGCGTATCGGAATGATTGCACCGTGTCGATCTACTCAGATGATTATGTAATCTTTGAAGATGATGGCGTAATCACTTGACGCGCCGTCGTCAACGATGAGGCCGGAGACTGGATCGAGTCAAATCCCATCAATCAGTCCCTAGCTCCCAGAAGCCAACTGTCACTTCACCACACTCATGCATGGTCATGATGCTGGGTTTGTCTTGGGCAGTACATCTGCTGAAGCTGAGCTACGATATATTGGGAGGAATGCTGCTAGAATGGAAGTGCGTGGCAGTACTCTTGGCCGTGGTGAATAGCTGGAGTTGGTTTCAGAGGCGGCGCTGATTTTCAGTGGAGTTGTGGTGACTTGTGGCGGCTACAGTAAGCTGCTGCAGTAGCACGAGAAGCGGCTTTGTAACACGACTCCGATGAGCGCGGCGTCTCGAAGCTGAAGGAACGCGTGAAGGCACGCAAAGAAGGAGAGCAAGACGCGTGGGGCGACTACGAGGAACGACCTGCAGTGGAGTAGCCCACGTGGCCGAGCCCTAGGCCGCAGTGGCCAAGGAAGATGTCGTGTGTGTGTGTGTGGGGGGGGGGGGGGATGCAGAAGTTTACATCGACGAAGAAGCCAAGGACGTGCGCCCCATGACGTAGTTAGCTGAAGGGAAAGCGAGCTTAAAGTGTTGCGTAGCTCGCTCCACTGCTACAGCATATGAATGCAAATATGCGCGATGTAAGGGGTGTGAAAACGCACCAGCCAAGTCATTAGTCACATGTCAATCCCAAACGTATTTTAATTCCTACTTTATTTGAGTTTATTCATAATTTAAAAATATCTACACTAAACAACTTCTTCAACTTCGAGTTGAGCAAGCGTTCTTAAATTCGACAGGATTTCGAGATTTAATGTACTCAACTTGAGCTGCAAGGCTGTTTCTCATCGCATCCCCTGCGCCGGCTTCGTAGCCGCAGCATCTGCGCGTTATGTGGATATTTGATTCAATATTTTAGGTTATTTCTCCATGATATCTAAGGCATGGCCCATGCGTTTCGTGTTGTACTGTATGGTACTCGATTCTACATGTGTTCGTGGCTGGTGTGATTTTTGTGGTGCATGTTCCATGAGTGTGATGGATAATTTTTAGTATGGCAGGAACTATATTTTTTGATAGATTATTTGAATAGAAGGGAATATATCCTAATTTTGGGTGGATGGGTCAACATGATTATATACTTATCGAAGAGTTTTGGCACGACTGTCAGCTTTGATGGATCGGTATCTATAGGGCATGTGATGTTTAAGGACTAGTGGACCAGTACGGTCGCTGTATGGACTCAGGGTTAAATCGACCTGGAATGCTATTGGACAATTTCAAGAGTTTATATGGGAATGGGTAAGAGAATACCTGCGAAAACTCTCTATTGTCTATTTTTCCCTGATGATTTGTTCATACCAGGATCGCAATAGATGATTGCAGAAGAAAAGGAACTTCAAACGATCAGACAAAGCTCCGCAAGCATTATCAAATACCGGTTAGCTCAATAATCACACGCAAAATAACACGTCATTTCGTTACCGCCCACCGTTGGAGTGAGTGTCCATATGAAAGAATAGTGCTTGTTTTGGATTCCAACATACATGTACCACGTTCTAGAGTTTTTCTACCACCATCGACGCAAGTGGTGGGATCTATTGACCACCGAGCGCAGTAGTAAGTGAGCCATATTGACTGCAGGTCGAGCGCTGTAATATACCACTTCTTTTGTAGCTCAGATTGTAAGCGCCGTTGAGGCAAAGAAAACGCAATATGAACGAGGAGAAGCCACTTTTACAGCTGAAGGCTCGAGCCTAGCTCAGATGTAATGAAGACTTAGTATGCTCGCCCTCGGAAAGAGCTGGATAGCGTGATTTCCAAAAACATTGATGCATCACTAGCAGCTATTTGGCTAAGAGAACTTAACAGGAAGCATGCCCCGTGGCGGTGTCAATCTACCATTGTGATACTTTCTTGTCAACTCGTATTCTAAAACAAAGACTTAATGGTACCTGTGTTAGAAAAAAAAAGCATCGCACGACCCCACCCCTGCTGTACATGTACTACGTAGTTACGCTCCGTTGGCATCACTGATTGCAACTCAGAAGACTCACAATCAGTGATAGTGCGTCTCTCACGCCAACTGACACGCGATGAAGCGTTTTAACGGTGCTCCTTGCCTCCGCAACATGGGGGACTCACTGGAGCTAAAAAA